AAAAAAAAAAAAAAAAAAAAAAAAAAAAAAAAAAAAAAAAAAAGAAAGAAAAAAAAGGAGAGAGAGAGAAGTGAAAATGTAAATGCAAGATACTGAGAGAGAAGATACCCTTTTCAGTGCATAAAAATTGAGTGTGAGTCTTCAAGGACATTCCTCTCACAAGTCTTGAAAACTCTATACTGCTGAATTTTCATACACTGTAATAAGAACAATCAAAATATAACAAAACGTTTCCTGGGCAAAATGAGGGGGAAAAAAGAATTAGTTTTGAAAGACGTTTAAACATCTAACCATGGCATGTTTAAGAATAAACCTGTTTATTTAAAAAAAATTATATTTCTATGGCTTACAGATCTTGCATTGGCATTTCTGGCACACTTACCCTAAGGAATCATTCTGACAGTGCACTTAAGTTTTCCAGATGTTTTACCAGTCATTCTACTAAAGAAACAAGACTATGTTTCAAATGTGGTGGCAATTGTTTCCCAGATTGACACAGAAGTAACTCTAACAAAAATACACGTGTTAAATAGGATTGTATGAATAGTGCTGGCTAGGTCAACTGCATTTAAGTCTGTTTTGTTTGTATTACAGATTAGTTATCAGAGACCTCTCAACAGCTCCATACATAAAGAAGTTGACATACTCATGCTGGAAGGATAAATAAAATTCACTTTTTGGGGAAAACATTCTGATTTGTATGTGTGTGTGGAAGTAACTGGGGCAAATATAGGTAGTGTGGGGGAAAGAGGAAATTATTTGACATTGAAATCAGCATACATAAAAGGTGTTTTTAAAAAATATTATATATCCCATTTCTTTTGGTAAATCTTTTGCCACCATTTACAAAGCAGTCTACAAGTCAATATAAGGTTGTAATATGTCCTCCAAATTTAAGTCAATGAAGTCCTCAAATTATAACTCTTTTACATTCCTGAGGAATCCTTCAGATACTTTTGGAAACAAATATACTGTTACTGATCAATTATTAACTCTTCAGAGGGAAAAGGAAATATAATCATTATTTTTTTTCTGACTAAAAAAATCTTGAAAATCTCTATTTTCACTTTTGCTGATTGTCAGTACTGTATGGTCTAATAAGACTTCCCACTCAAATGTGCAGAAAAAAATATATACACAAACATGCACATAAATGCACACAAATAAAGAGAAACATGTAAGCCTCCCAGTGATACTTGTGGTACTTTAAGACAACCAATTATAATAATCAAATTTTGTGAAAGTCAATGAAAAAATCCATTTTTTGGCCCCAGTTACCACATGAATGGTCATTTGTTTCATGACCATTTTCATTATTATCTGAATTCCACTTTATTTAAACTCTGCCTATAGAGTCAGGAAATGAATAGTTTGTCCCTAGGTAGCTCTCTATCTTATGTCAAGACAAAAGAAAAATTACTTTCTCGAAAATCAGCTATAGCTGTGTTCTGATGTCAAGTTTTACCATTATAATTTTGAATGGACCAATCTTCTTCTTTGTTTTCTTTCTATTGGTAATATAGTATTGTTACATACAGAATAATTTCTTTTTGGTTGAATCAGTTGCTTTCTCACTAAAATAGGTATGTTCAATATTTCTTGCATATTTTAGTTCCTTTTAAAACTTGTTTGTGTCGTAATTCCATAAATCATCTTCTATTTCACTCATTTTTTTTTAAACACGTTGGTTTTTAAAGCTATTTACATATTTTCTATTGATTATTTGTTTTCCTGGTGCCATGATCAGTAAGAATTAATCGAAGTTGTAGAATCTTTAAAATCATCTTTGAGGATTAGATAATTTTGTGAATTCCCACAGCACATTTTTATGCACACACTCTGTATGACGCTGACGCATTCTGAAGGCAAGGATAAAATTGGTTTCATTTCAGGATCCCCAGGCCTGGTATACAGGCATCAAATATTTACTGAGAAAATGGACAAGCAGAAGAAAGAAAAGAAGGAAGGAAGGAAGGAAGTAGATTTTTACTTTTGAAGTTAATAAAAGATTAAAAAGCCTGAATGGTAGATGATTATTTAGTGGCTGCTGGATTTTATAAACTTAATTGTATTTTCCCATCTTCTTTTGGTCAGTCTTACAGATGATGGAGTGGACATATGTACAGACTTTGGCCCTGATGGAACATTGGTTTCACCTGTTTTCACAACAGACTAACCACTCTAAGTAAAATGACACAAATGAGGGGCCAGGCTATGCCATTTCTTTTCATTTTACAAATGTAAAAATGTTACGGTTTAAAAAATGAAAAACCTGAGTTCTTTTAAATAAAATAATTCCTTGTTTTGGTACATTGTGGACTACTTAACTACTCTCTGCCACACAGAATTTATCATATGAAAATAAACAAACGTTATATGTAGGTAAACACCTATACTTTATGAGGAGGACATTCACTTCTTTTACACATTTGTGAAGGTGATGGATGAGCACCATTCAGTATTACAACGTTTCTCAAATCAGAAGCACCTGTTGACATATGACATAACTATGTGGTTTTGGTAAGAACAAGAGTAAGAATAAGAGAACGTGGCTTCTCTTTCTGAAATAAAACCTCATCTGTGCTGGAAGCAAATGCTATGTGAATGGGAAGGATGTAACAGAGGAAGCAAAATCAGAGCATTATATAAAAGACTTTGGTATATAAACCCTGGTTCCGTTCCTCTAGAAGCTGATTTTCTAGGAAAGAACCAAAAAATAACAAAGTAAAGAGGTTGGTAAAATGTTTATGCCTATTCTCAACTCCAAAATAAATTGTATATCATGTGCAATAGTGATTAGAAAACAAAACCACCACCGGCATTTAGTTCCTAAACACTGAGATAGGTTATATAGCATCGATTAAAAATATCTGGATTATATTCTCAACTCCAAAATAAATTGTATATCATGTGCAATAGTGATTAGAAAACAAAACCACCACTGGCATTTAGTTCCTAAACACTGAGATAGGTTATATAGCATCGATTAAAAATATCTGGATTATCTTGGCTGTGCCAAGATCCCAGCTGTGCCAAGCAAAAAATGCTGTCATATAACCAAACAGGTAGCCTTAAAGAGTTTCCTTGCTTCAGACATAGCAAGGTGATGTCCATCTGGGATTTTTATTTCTGTTCATACTCTAGAAACATCCCAAAAGGTGATGAGTCAGTGATTCACTGAGTTTGCCTACAAAGAGAACCCCAAGTAGATTTCACCAGAGTAATTTTCTTCTGTAGGCTTCTGAAACTAGCACGTTAGTATATTTCCCTACAGAAAGCCAGCCCTGTCAAAGGTTGCAGAAGTTGTTTGTGCTTCAGCCTCTCTAAATGACTTGCAAATTTATTCAAACACAACACCAGGAGATGCTTTATTTGTTGAAATAACTGTCTGCAGTGTCCTGAACTAAAGGGTGAGGTACATCAAGCAGAAACATGTACAGAAATACATTGGTTTAGAAACCCATAAATCCTTATTTAAATCTGCCAACCTGAAAGCCATGTAGAGCCTGAATAAACTATTTTTCCTAAATGCTACATCTGATTAAGTCATACCATTAAGTGACAGCTGAACTTTAACATTAATATGATATTATTTAAATAACCACACGATTTTTTTTACACTAAAAATGATGAATGATTTCTGGACAGCTCAATTGACATAAAGCAGGAGGACTCTTTAATGAGATTTGACAAAATGGAGACATACGCAGAATATTCGTTACAGCTCACGTGGCAGGGGCCCTCCCAGGGAAGCAATAGAAGTTTTTTTCCCCCCTTTCCTCCTTTTTTATTGTCTATAGACACTGAAGCATTCCTTTCAATTCCATTTCCCTTCTCCTTGAGTTTTTAATTTTTCTGAAGTCATTTACATATTACTTATAATCAGAGTTTGGCGGTAGATGGTCCTGAGTTGTTACTACGCTTCCAGGAAAGGAGAGACAATGTAGTGTTAGGTCAATCTTGCCTGGAAGTGTCCTGGGAACTTTAGGCTCACTACTCATCTGGCTGGTAGAGAAATCACAGTGACCTTGAAGACTAAACTATACATTTGATTGTTTCTTACGCAATAAATCTCTTAACATGTCAAACATACTTTTAGCAAATTATAGAAGACGGATACCTGACCAGAAACTTTAGTTATTTGTAAATAGTTGTCTCTATAAGATCAACTATAGAAAAATTTTTCTTCTTTAAAATTCCTATTAAGCTATTCCAGAGGCCATTTTCAACATTCCTCACTTTTCTATCCACAGTTCCAAATAGGCGGTCATGGTAGATGATACTCTTATTTTGTAGATACTGGATGTAAAACCTTTCTGTGCTGAATATACTTATGTAGAATATTACCTACATTCATTCATTTACTTTTTTTATACTCTCCCGGATATTTTCCATCGATCAAAGTTTAGTTACACATATAAAATATCAACATTTGTTTGCTAGCACATATGAATTCAGATTATTCAGATAATCTTTATATTTTATAAGTCATCTTTAAGTACATACATAAAATGGAAATGTTTCCCGATACAGTGTCCCTTAAAGAAATGAAAACAAGGCAACAGAGAACAAAGCTAATACCAAGTGTGCTCCTGATAGCAGCAGGCCTGCATTCTCCCTAGGAGAAGGAGGCTATTGGGATAGAAAAAAATCAGTATATTCCTGCCATGGGGACTTCCTCAGGCTATGAAAAAAAACTTCATGTCTAACCCTAATTTTTTCCATAGTTTGAGGTAATCCCCCTAGCTCAAGTCTCCTCTCTAATCTGAGTTAGTTGGTATGTGTCCCCACCCAAAGAGTTAATATCAGTTCTCTGTTATTTCAAAAGGGTCTTGACACAGGGTACAAAGAACAGAAGCTCACAAGCCTGTTTGCCCCACTGCAATTAGAGGAAAAACATAGTTGAAAAGAGAGAGGGAGAGAGAGAAAGAGAGAGAGAGAGGAAGATCGGTCCCTACCTTGCTCTTACCTTCGCAGCATCCCTGTCAGAACCCTGGAGCTTTTCCCCAAGTTAGCGTCTGTTTCCCGAAGCTAGGCGGAGAAAAGCAGCATTAACAAAACAAAACAAAACTCCATGCAATTAGGTTATTTTTAAAGTGCATAGTAAGCAACAATTTATTTCACAATAGAAAATCCAAACAATAAAAAATGCTTAAATACACAAAAATAAAAACATGTCTGACAATTATACAAACTCCAAAAATTCTTAGATTCAGCAAATAACATGTGAGAGGTAACCCAGGATCTTTAAACTGGATACTTGAACTGGATATAAAAGCAAATGTCTCACAGCCTGACAAAATTTAATATACATCTGGTAATTAATCTCCAGTTTATGAATTTGCAAAGTTCTGAAAACATAAATGGAATTTTACACTAAAAATGATGAATGATTTCAATTCTACCTAATAAATTGAGGAAGAATGAGACCAATAGTTAGTTTTACAGCTTTCACTCTGAAAGACTGACATGCTTCAAAACCTCTCGGAATGACCTTCTTCTCAGCTATAGAGCTAAATAAAATATCCCCCTGGGGGCATTCTGGGATGGGGCTATAACGAATCAGCTTCTTTTTTCTCCATCTCATACCTTTCTTTTCCTCTCCAAAGCCTTTATCACCCTTTTTCACACTAGCCATTTTTATACATACTTAACTCTGTGTAGTCATTCTTCTCTATGTATGTCCCGACTATCATTTATTTTGTCTTCTCATTCACTGAATATGTGAAAAGACTGTATCACTTGTACTTACTCTTTCACGTGCTCGCTGTATCTTTTCTCTGTCATGACTGAGGTTTTCCAACATTTCCTGGCCAATTTGCTCTATGGAAAAGAAAATGTAAGGAAAGACAACTTGGGGCACATGTGAAAATAACTTTCAGAAGTACCAAAGTGACAATGGGTGCAGAGTAATGTTAAAGTAGTGTGCATCTTTTTTTTGGTGGTTGGCTGGTAAGGGGACCCAAACCGTTGACCTTGGTGTTACAAGGCTGAGCTCTAATCAACTGAGCTAACTGGCCAGCCCTAGTGTGCATTTTATATCAGACATATTCCAATTCATATATTTGAACAATATAAACAGTATTTGATAAATTTACCTATTTATCTTAGGTATATTTAGATGTGATTTATAATGTGACCTATAGAACATAACCAACATGGCAATAATGATTTAGAGGTGATGTGACTTGCCCAAGGTCACTCCAGCAAATTATCAGCAAAGACATAGGAGAGCCCAGGTCCAATGGTCTATTATTTTGTCATCATGGAATTCAGCCTTTGAATTTTACAGTTTATAAGTAATGTTATCAATTCTGCTCTACCTTCCTCACTTCAGTATGGCACTGTTTTGCATATATAAGTCAACGTCCATTTAGAAGGATCTTGATTTGAATGTAATTGCCCTGCATAAGTGATCCTCACATTCTCATCTACTGCAGCTTATTGGTAGTGGAACTATTGCTAGACGTCTGCTCTCTTAGAGGCAAGGGCTTATTTAATGTGTTATCAGCTCTTGCAGATACTTAAGTTGGAGTGAGGTGCACTCCTTAACAGGCGGTTGAGGAGAGCTCAGCTGGAGACAGGGTTTTCAACCCAGAACTTCCAATCATTTATGCTAGTACAGGCAGCTTAGAACCTTCACTTAGAAAGTCACACTGCTGAGTTCCAATGAGGTTTCCCACTGCCATGATCATCTGATTTGGTTGGCACTGGGCAGTCTCTCCTCTGACTGCAGACCCTTTTACAGGACATTAGGTATGTCCTATCCTCACAAATATCTATATCTAGCTGCCTTCAATAAGTATTTTTTTTTTCAGACTCATTCTCCATTACTTGCGAGGTACCTTATTCTATAATAGAATGCCAATCTGCTTCTCTTATAATCTTGGCAACCTGACTACCTTATTCTACATCTCCCTCTCTCTCTTTTTCCCCTCTTGTATTGTCTCTTTACCCTTACCTGTAAAAATAATCATATCATCTCTGTCTTATAAATTTATAGACAAACATCTATTATAATAGCAAATAATAAAGTCATTAAAAAACCAGCATGGTAGTTATTTGGCTCATGTATGCACACTGGAAAACTTTTTAAAGGGACATCCTAAAAACCACAGAGCAGTTTTCAATCCCACTTACTAGCTGTGCAACCTCGTGTAAGTTAGCTAACTTCGTTGTGACCCAGTTTCTTCGTTTCTAAAATGGGAATAATAATTATAGTACTATATCATGGGGTTGTTGTACGGATTCAATAGATAACTCAATTAAAATATTTGGCACTGTGACTGGCCCATAACAATAATAATAAGCATTTATTGAGTGACGATGATTATTATTAAAAAATTAATGGATAATTACAACTTTGACCCTTTCCTATCCTAGTTCTGTCATAACCACTTGAATTGTAATTTTACTCATAGGATACACCTGTCCAACTTTTTGCACAAAATTGGTCTTATAACCAAATGAGATAACTTAAGCAAAAATGTTGTGGAAGCTATAGGGTGCTATATAAATGCATGCCATTGTACATATAGTACATCATATACAAACATTCAACAAATAATCATTGAGTCCCCACTCTGCCACGTACGTATATGCGCTGGAGATATGGCCAGTAAAGAAGATCAAGTGTTCGCACCCATGGAACTTCCATGATGGTAGTGAAGGCAAACATTACAGCAGAGTTTGTGTTTCACAGAACGACAGAAAAAGAACTGTATATTCCTTTCATAATAGAAAATCCAACTAATAAAAATGGTTACCTACACTATCATGAACATATTTTTGACAGCATACAAACTCTGAAAATTCTTTCCTAGTATAGTACCTTCTCTGAGATTTATTTTATGTCTTTATTATAACTCCACACAATTTATCCTTAAGGTAAAATTGAATAAGATATGTGGTTCCCAGTGGAGGCATCATAAAAGTGGAAGATGATACCAATAATGGAGAAGGAGGAAATAACTAGAGTTGAACCTGCATTAGTACTACAATATTCAATTTTGTCATACTGTTATTGCTGTCACATAGAATTCCTTTAATCAACCTAATATAGCAATTTTAATTCATTTTTAACTTAAAATCTCTAATATATATATGAACACCACCAATACTGTAATTATTTGAGCAAAATACTACTCATATTTATATAATATTCTCTTCTATCAAGATTGACTGTATTATAATATGCAATCTCAAATGAATAGGTTGTTACTATTGTTACTGTGGCCAACATAGTACCCCCAGTATTTGTGGAAATAATGAGAAAATGAAAGAATGAAATAAAGTCAAAAAATGAAGTATATGAAAGGTTTCATAGCCCATCAAGTGTGGCACTGGAGAAGTCAACATTAGAAAGCAGGTAATAATATATCCACAATTCTATCAGGTTAGCCAGGGGAAAAATTTGACTATGAATAGATCTATAATTTGCTACTGAAAGAATCAATGGAACAAGAGGTAAAGAGATCAGGCCTTTCTAGGAGTCATAAGCCATTCCCACATTCTCCTTGCCTCCTAGGAAATAGCTCAGCGTACCAAATACTAACTCCGTGTAGCAAGAGAAGTGATATTGGCAAGAGTACATATCTTGGTCTTAACATCAAAATGCCATGCACTTGCTGGAAACAGAATACTTTTTCCATTTCTTATTCCCACATTTCATTTCTACTTTCCACTTTAATGCTCTAATAAAGAAAACTCCAGGCCAAATATATTAGAAATGTTTACTCTTATGGAATGAAAAAAAAAAAATTCATGCAGAAAATCTTTTGTGTTTTTTTTCCATTTTGTTTCCCTCTCCTCTAGTCAAACCAAAACAAAACAAGATAACAAATTAGAGTTAATTATTTTTAATATAGACTGTCATTGGTCAGGACAGTATTAAGTATTCAGAGATTATTTCATTAAAAATTAGTAACACTGTTAGGTTTATTTTTCTTAAATAATTTAACTCAAGATATAAGCATTCACCAAAAACACCAATAAAGAAAAAACACAAGCTCACAGGCCTAAATCAATGGCTGATTTAATATACTGAGTCTAGAATTTTCAGTTCTTTAATCTTTCATAGTGCCTTTAGAATGGGAATAGCGATAGTGCCTCTGTTGAAATAACTTGAGAAATCATAAATAAGTACTGTACTTGTTGACTGCGAAAATCTTGAGATTAAGAAAAAATGGGAAGCATAAAAGAAAATAAAAACTGATGCTGTATGCTGGAAATAACTTGAGAAATCATAAATAAGTACTGTACTTGTTGACTGCGAAAATCTTCTTGAGATTAAGAAAAAATGGGAAGCATAAAAGAAAATAAAAACTGATGCTGTATGCTGGAATTCTACATGTCGGTATGAGCATGATAAATGAATTCCTGGAAGGAAGAGTTCCTTCCTGCATTTCTCTATTCTTTCCACAGGGGTCCTGGGAATCATCCTGGGAGTACAGCACTCAAATGCATAAAATAAGTTTTTGTTTTCACAAATACCTGAATCACTGCTATCTTGATACACAGCCCTTTTCATAGGGGCACACACTTGCAAAAGGGCTTCTGGCTAACATTTCCTTTCTTCTTCACTCTTGGAGGGTTTCCACAATAGGCATTCAATACTTTCTGTCCCATAAAGGAACTGAGAAGGAAGCAGGTAGCTACAAATCTAGCAGGATACTTCCTGAAAGACTGGGCAGGCATCACAAAGATAAGACTTAGTTTGAGGAGTCTGTATTACTGAAAGCATCATGCCTCTCCATTCATAAAATAATACCATCTGACAAATGTAAAAGTCCATCATAAGACTAACATGAATAAACATTTAAAAAAAAATTATTGGACTTGTATTTTGGAGGTGAGCAGAATAAAATATTTTCTATAAGAAGTTATGACGGATTGAAGTTCACATCATGTTATACTATAAATTTGGCTGAAAGGGAAGAGGCCTCAAATCTAACTCACCAGAAAATGTCCCATTTGATAAATTCAAAATATTTAAAAAATTTTAGCCATTATACTACAAGCAGTGCACTTTCCAGAAGATACTGATTATTCCTGAGCAGATCCTATACCTAACTTTCTTTTTACAAACTTTGTTAAGGATGTGTGTGTGTGTGTGTGTGTGTGTGTTTTAAAGCAAAGACAGCCAACTGAGTCTTCTTTAAAGAACCAAGAGAAGGTAAGGTTACTTCTTGGCACTCAAAAACTTCATTAGCAATTTTAGTAGCAGGTAAAAGGCATTCACAATTATCCAACTATTGTTAGTGAATGAAAACTTTTGTGAAGTGCAGGAGTACAAAGCAATACTGTAAAAGAGCTATTCTGAAGCATGTGTTTTTATATGTGTATTGAAGAATACCAACCAGTTGGATGAAAAACACAAAGTGGTATTTCCTCCCAATCTGGAGTACTTAATTTTGGATATGGCTTGGGGACTACTGGCCACCAAATCTAATAAAAGTAACTAACTTGTTTTGGGAAGCAGACGGAGTCACATACAGCTTTCTCAGGAGGGATCTGCCGATGGAATGCTGGGGTCAGTCACTTTGGGCATTTAGCACACTGTATTAGCCAGTTTCTGTTGCTTATAACAGAAATACCTGAAACTGAGTAATTAGCAGAGAAAAAACATTTATTGCTTACAGACTCAGAGGCTGGGAAGTCCAAAGTCCAGGGAACATATTTGGTGAATCTACAACAATGCAGGGTGTCACATGGTGAGAACGGCAGAGCAGAGAGAGTAACCTCCTCATTCTCTCTCCTTTTAAAGCAACCAAAACCACTCCCATTATTCCAAGAATGGATCAATCTATTCATTAGGGCACAGT